CTACGGGTTCCAGCGCACCCGGACAACGTTCATATGTCATCTATCACTGCATAAAAACCCTTAAGCTCATGATATAGAGCAAAAAAAGACAAAATTGATTTTACATGCGACTTCAGAACAGTTCTATTCAGAACGTATTCTAAAGTCGGGGGCCTACTGTTGTTACCCAATTTTGGCCTCGCCTATTAAAATATTACACGTGGATATATATATTAAATCACGTGGATTTGTATTAAATCAATTGTGGTAATTTATCTTATTGTTAAGGCCCAAAAATAACACCACTTGCAATAATATCGGGCCCAATAAATATTTATATATATATAAAGTCCCCAATGATGGACGGGGGAGGATAAGTCTGAGGGGCATTGAAAATTCCTTCTTTATCTGTAACAAAAAGAGGCACCGCCTCTAAGGTTTTTCTCCATCTTCATCATTATAATTTTTACAATTCAATTCTTTTTAATTTTTCATTCAATATACCAAGAAAAATCGACTACAATCATATATTCGAGCAATTCTCCGAACACCCCATGTTGTTACAATTTCGTATAACAACAACTCGCAACTACAAAAAATCAATACACAAACAAACACGAAAATACTATGAAATGATCCCAACAGGATAATTGAATCAAACTTATATTTACCTTATACTTACCTTTATCTTTTGGAAATTGAATAATATATTGTAGGCAAGATTTTTTTTAAATAGTTTTAGACATTTTTTCTTTACAAAATGGTTTAAAAAAAAATTAGGTGACTTCACATCTTTCAATAATAATATATAAAGTTTAAACTTTACATACATTATATAATTAGGTGTTCTTAATATTTTAAACATATATTCTTTTATGTTATTTTATACAAGATAATTTTATATTGTTTACAACGGACATACGATAAATTATGTCACATATTAACTATGCATCTTAATTTATAATCATTAGTTAATGTTCTTTGCCCTCATATTTATTTTATAATTATTAGTTACTATTGTTTACCATCATCTTCAATTATAACGCTTATTTAATATTTTTACTCGTGCACACTAGTTATATATTATATATAAGGGGATTTTAATACAAGGTGACTTATAAAGCCTATTAAAAAGTTGTAATTAAATACCTAGGAGGATCTTACTAAATGTTTTCCAACGTGATTTTAAATTTTAATTGAAATTTTTTTTTCACATCAATTCTAATATTTACTTTTTCATCTATCGATCAAAGTATTCATAATAACATGTGGTTTTGTTAGATCTACTAGGGGCATAAGACAGGGAGACCCACTGTCCCCTACATCTTTATTTTGATATCTGAGATCCTCTCCCATGTAATCAAAAATGAAAAGAATAGAGGGACTCTTAAAGGTCTCAAAATCAGCAAGCACGGTCCCACATTAACCCATATTTTATTTGCAGATGACGCTCTTGTTTTCTCTCAAGCAGACAATAGCCAAGCACTCATTCTTCTTAATATTCTGAGACAGTACCAATCCATCACTGGCCAAAAGGTGAACCTAGACAAATCCTCAATCATTTTTAGTAAAAACAAACCTTCTCATATCCAAAACCAAATCTGCCAGACACTGTTGGGCATCACAGCAACATCATCATCTAAATATCTTGGCCTTCTTTTGGGGATGGGGACCTCTAAAATTGATACCTTCTCCTTCATTGAGGACTCAGTTAAAAAAAGAATCTCAAATTGGAAAACCAAGTTGATTTCTTTTGCAGGTAAAGAGGTTCTCCTAAAATCAGTGTTGAGTGCCCTTTTACTCCATGTCATGCTTTCTCTTACCCAAGGCCACCAACAAAAATTTGGCTCAACTATTTGCCAATTTTTGGTGGAGCATAGGAGACCCTAACAAGAACAATATTCATTGGAAATCTTGGAATATGCTTACCCTGCCTAAAAGCAAAGGTGGATTGGGATTTCTTGACTTGCATCTCATGAACAAGGCACTCATTAAAAAGCATATTTTGAGATTTCTCACACAACCCAACCTCTTGGTGAGTAAACTGCTTAAAGCCAAGTATTTCCATAAAGAAAACTTCTTCTCCATCGAAAAGAAGCAAAATAGCTTACAGATGTGGAACTCATGGTTATCAATAAGAGATTCAATGCATAATGGATTCAGAGTAAAAATTCAAAATGGAGCTAAAACTAATATATGGGATCATCCCTGGATTTTGAACATCCCTGGTTTCAAGATAAAACACTCTGCCTTTCCTACATGCAATCTGAATTGGGTTTCTGAGCTGATAGATGAGACAGGAAGAAACTGGAATGGTGAGTTAGTGACTAACATCTTCCTCAAACCACTGAGTGAGGCTATCCTCAGCATAAAGGACTTGAACCCTAATAAAGAATAAAAAGGAATTGATAAACTCTCTGTCAAATGTGTATACCCAAAGCTGGTTGAGGAAAAGTGGAACCTTCTGGATGTGGCAGAAAAAAGTATTGAACAACAAGAAGCTAAAAGAATGAGATACAGAAGTTGAAACCTCAAGATCAAAGGCAAGATCAAATATTTTATTTGGAAATGCTCTGGTAATCTTTTTCCAGTCGGAACTAACTTGTTCGAAAAAGGAGTTGTGCTTGATGTCATTTGTCCTGCTTGTGGAGATTCTGAAGAAAACTTGGAGCATCTATTCATTCACTTCTCTAGAGCACAGTTTATATGGAAGCTTTCTCCTTTAAGATGGGATGGAATTACCAATGGCCCAATCTCTTTCAAGGATTGTTGGTCAAAGATATGCAACTTACATTCCTCCTCAATCTCTGATGCTAGACTGTAGTTAACAGCCTACATTCTTTGGAATATGTGGAAATCAAGGAACCAAATCATCTTCAAAAACTTAAGAAGACCTGAGATTTCTGTGGTTAATGTTGCTTGCTCTGAATGGATGGAAATATGCTCCAGTTCCCTTCACTGATCTTGCTCCTTTTTTTTTAGTTTTATTGAGTCTTCTTGTTGGATGGGCTTTTCTTTTGTTTTATTTTTTTCTTCTTACTGTTGTAGTTTTTTGTTGCTGGTTGGTTGCTTTTTTGTAGTGTAATAGACTAGGTCCTCTGGGTTCAGTCGTCTGTTGCCTTTTTGCTGCTCTTTTGAGCAAAAAATGATAGTATTGCTTTGACACTTCCGACAACAAGATTCTTCAATTTTGTTTTGGTTATTTTGGATTAGGGTGTTTGCTCTGTTGTTTCTTGATTCTACCTTGTGGTAGGACTCAACTACTTAGTCTGCGCTCTGTACATTTGTTTTGAGTTTTGAGTAAAGTATTTATCATGTCGAAAAAAAAAAGATCATAGTTTTCATAAATTGTTTTGAAAAAATAAATTATCACTTGACCAACAAAATAAATAAAATTGTTTGGAAGTATATACAATAGATGAAAAATTGTACTTTCTCTCTTTCCCTTAACCCCTCTTTCACATTCAACGATTTCAGCTTCTCGTGTGCCTTTCTCGGCGGTTTAACCGGCCTTTTGCTGGCGGATGGCCTTTAGTTACGCGCCCTCATCCCAATTTTGCCCTATTTTTCGTTCGTCTGCTCCAATGGAGGTAGGTGGTCGCCCTTCTGTCGGTTCTCGCCAAGCTTGGGGTTCAAGTTGCGGTTGCCAAGCTCTAGTTGCTGGTCGCGGTCGCGGTTGTCGGCTCTCTGGTTGCGTAATGGTGTTGAGGGTTGGAGTGGGATTGGGGGTGGGGTGCGACCCTTTCTACTCGTTGTTTTCGGTGGCGAGCGGGCTGGGGTTGAGGTGCGTGGTTCGATCCCTCGTTTCTCTACTTTTTTTGGTGTGAAGGAAGTAGAAGATCAACATTCTCGGATTTGGGCCAATGGTGATGGTCGGGTTCGGGGTGGTGGGTTGTGGGGTGGGGTTTGACCATTGTTCGTCCGGTTTTGGTTCGGCTTCATCCTAAGAGTGGTTCGAGGTTCGGGACTCGTCCTTTGCTAAGCATTTAGGCAGTGCGCGGGAGTGGCGTTCTGGATTTTGGGTCAAGCTGTGGGATAGTTGGTCCTTGTTTTCGCCGGTGCCTTATGTTGGGCTCGGTTATCCTGATGGGGAAGGGTTGTGTTTGTTCGTTTTGTTCGTTTTGTTTTTATTAGTTTTAGTTTGTGTTTTCTTGTTCGTTATTGTCTACAATCTATGTTTTTTGTTTGGACTGTTGCCTCTGTGTACCCAAATGAGAGCGAGTATTATCCCTTTGGGATCAGCCATTCTTCTTTTAGGAGTTGTATAGTTAGTTTTTGTTTAGTGTTTGAAGTAGTGTTGGTCTAGCATTGGTAGGGGCGTCTCTAGGCGATCTCCGAATCTGTACCCTCAATTTTAATCTCTTAATTGTAATTATTCAGCTTTGTGCTACTTTCTTTTCGCACTTTTGTATGTTTTATAAAATCTCTATCGTTTAAAAAAAATATATATTAATATGTATACAATAGTTGAGTTCTAATATTTGAGGTGCCTTTTTCTCCAAAAGTTTGCTTTCTAGTAAAAGAATAAGGATTTTACTTTCTGTTAAACTTTATCCAAACTAAAACTCCTTTAAAACGTGTTGAGCGTTTGACCTCCAAAACATAGGATGAAAGAAACCTATAAAACCTTATATAATATGCGATCACAATCGCATCAGCCCTACAGTTTTAGTTGAATTTTCAGTCCATACTTTGTTCATCGCCGCCTTCGTTCCTGATTCTTCATATCCTTCCTGTGAGCCGCCAAAAGAGAATTACAGAATAAACAAAAACAGTAATCAAATCTTGATGCGCGTAGAACGATGGTGCTGATCGGAGAAAATAGCGCATGGAAACAACCACCGGTCGGCCGATCCCCGTCGAAGATGGATCTCTACTGCGTCCGAGCCTGTTCTTCCTCAATTCACGACTCCTTCACAGCCGCCATGGAAGCCTTCTCCGAACACCCTGTAATTTAGCCTCCCCTGTTGTTCCCCCCTTTTGTCCGACCTAATTCGATCCGCGAATCGATCGTCTTCACCATGGATCTCGAGTTATCTCACAGGAAAAAACCGGAACTCCACGAGCCCGACGCTACCGAGACATCTCCGTGCGGCCGCTACATCCGGTTCGAGCAGACCCTTGGCCGGGGAGCTTTCAAGGAAGTGTACAGGGGCTTCGATCGGCTCAACGGCGTCGAGGTCGCCTGGAATCAGATCTGCCTCGACAACGACGACAAAACCCTAAAAAATTCCCCGGAAAATCTGGCGCGATTGTGCTCCGAGGCCGTCCTGCTGAATTCCCTCGCCCACAAACACGTTATGAGGTGCCACGCCTACTGGATCGACTACCAGAACAAGACGGTGAACATGATTACCGAGCTTTTCACCTCCGGGAGCCTGAGGCAGTACATGAAGAAATTCGGGCGGCCCAATTTACAGACAATGAAGAATTGGGGCAGGCAGATACTTGAAGGCCTGCACTACCTCCACACCCGAACCCCCTGTGTCATCCACCGTGATATTAAGTGCGACAACATATTCATGGACCTCACCACCGGCGAGGTCAAGATTGGCGATTTCGGGCTGGCCACTGAGATGGAGCAGGCCCCAGCCCGAGTCCTGGCAGGTACGCCCGAATTCATGGCCCCTGAGTACTATGACGAGGAGTACAATGAGCTGGTGGATGTGTACGCCTTTGGTATGTGTTTGATGGAGATGGAAACTTTGGAGTATCCTTATTGCGAGTGCACAAACCCGGCTCAGATTTTCAAGAAAGTGTCAAATGGTGTGAAGCCGGCAAGTCTGGAGAGAGTGAAGGATTTGGAAGTGAGGGGTATTATTGACAAGTGCATGTTGCCGGCTTCTCTGAGGCCGTCGGCTTTTGAGCTGCTAAACGACCCGTTTTTCTCGTTGGAGGAGAATTCAATGGACATAATGGGAATTGAATCATCTGGGTCTTTTGGGCAGGAGGAACAATGCAGGGGGATGAAAAGCTTGTGCTTGGATGGGTCGATTGTTTCGGGGATATCCATGTTGTACAATTCAATTTGCTTGTCGGGAGAGGGCAATGGTGGTCAGGGGTGTATTGGTAAATTAGGAAGCTCGGATGTCTCGATGAATTCGAGAATCACATTTGCTTCGTCGTCCGGCGACGTGTCAAAGGATTTTGGGCTGGCGAACTCAAAACCTTTTTGTGTGGAGAATGAGATGATGCCTGCTGACTATATTTTTTATCATATTAGGGTGAATTAGGAGTTTTGTGACTTCTGTATAAGCATAATGGATTCTTTGTTTTCCGATGTAAACAAGCGTTTTCGGAATTTTGAAAGGGATGTTATTTCCTTGGTGTTCAATGTTTATCAGTGTGAGGAATGTAACTTTTTTACTTATGAAAAAGATTGATGTGCATGCATGATTAGATTTGCAAAAAAATGGAAGAGGCAATATATAAAGTTTCAACAGTTCACTACATTATACAGAGAGATGATTTTTGTTTATACTTTGAACTAATATTGGTTATTTGGATAACTTAGGAAGTCCATTTGTTAGCAATATTACGAGATGGAAGTGCATGTGGAGACGGCTTTTGCCCCTTTTTCATGGAGACTTGGTATGTAGAAATCAATGGCTTGTCATGTAGAAATCAATGGCTTCGAGATTGTCATCAACATGCCTGTTTTGATATCTGAGCAGGGTTTCATTTGAATATTTCTACTATATGGAAATACAAATCCACTTGCTACGCTCGTGATTCACGCGGATTAATCGAACTTCACATGCCAGAATATGTTGAAATTGGACATACACACAAAGAAAATACAAAGATTTAACAGATGATTATGTTCTGCAGACAAATATTGGAACAAATATAGGATGTGTACATGGAGTTTGGTGTCAACAATACACAACAGCAATAACCAGAACTAGAGAGGCTTCTATTTTAAGTAGCTTTGAAAAAGTTCTTCTCCTTTAAACTTTCGACTGTTTCCTTGATGCCCTCTTTGAGTGGAGTGAATTCGACACCTATTCTTTCAGCTCTTTCTTTCGAGAATTTGTATGTAGGCATGAATGGCTTGTCATCGGCGCACCTGAGTTTCACATATTCATATAAACAATAACGGAGAAATTGATACTATATGAATAACGTATACGTAAGGAATTATGATAAGGACTCACTTTTCAGGAAGTTGAAGCTTAGGGTACAATTCGCGCAGTATCTTCACAATTTCCGAACAGTGTGCAACACTCTCCACCACACAGTATCTTCCATTTGCCGAAAGATTCTCAAATGCCAGAATATGTGCATTTGCAACATCTTTTACGTTCACCCATTCGAATGTATGGTTTGGATATGCTTCTGCACCTGCACATGCCAAGAATAGGTAGCATAATAATCAAAACAATAACAAGGAACTACAAATTTATCGACCAAATGTTTTAGTTAGAACGCGATGGAACATACCGCTTATCATGTGCAAGACAACAGCAGAACTTGTGTTAAGAGTTGGCTGCAACAGGGGACCAATCACCAAGCCCGGGTTTATAGAAACCAAGTCGATACCTTTCTCTCTCACAAACTTCCATGCAGCATCCTCAGCCAATGTCTTTGACAGGAAATACCATTGCTGATAGAAACAATGAAAACAAAACTTACACAAGAACAAAAACAACAAATATATATATATATATATATATATATATATATACTTTTAAAAGCAGAATTGAACACTGACCTGTGTTTGTCTGCAAAACTCAGGGTCGGACCACCAAGTCTCGTCAACAACAACTTCAGGAGTCCGAGGTTTTCCATTGGCAAAAATGGCAACTACCGATGAAGTCAAAACGACCCTTTTGACTGACGGTGTTTTCGCACACGATCGGAGCACATTCAGTGTCCCTTTCAGTGCGGGATCAATCAAATCTGCCTAAAAGAGGTGAGATTAACCTGATTAAGTTAGAACCACACACACACACACACAAAAACACAGAAGTAAAAGTAAAACAAAGAAAGAAATATGAATTAGGCGAGTTAAGTATTGCAAGTCATTAGAGTATTCCTCTTCAGACTGAGTTAAGACTTCAACTGCATATGAACAGAAAAGAAGAAATAACGGTGAAGGCTCGAAAACCTGTGGATCAGTAGTTGCAAGGAAAAACGGAGAGGCGGTGTGGAAAACGCCATCACAGCCATCAACAACAGCATCAAAGGAGCCTTCTTCATTTAAATCTGCTTTTATCAATTGAAGCCTCTCCTTTGCACCATCAAGTGAGAGTAAGTGCTGTGTCTTGTTTTGATCATCTGCACAGTTGTACCATGACATAAAAACACCATTACATTATAGATTCCATAATTCAGATAAAATCACTCCCTCTGTTTGATAAACAAATGATGATTTAACTTTTTAGCTCAGGAAAACACTGTTGTTATTAGCTCAAATCATCAGATGGTTAGAGCTAGTGATAAGGAACACACACACACACACATATATACATTGATAAAGAACACACACACATACATACACATACACACACAAACACACACACACACATATATATGTATATATATGTTACTGAACTGGTGTCACGAACAGAAGCTTTGACTGTATAGCCGCGCAGCAGCAAGAATTTGACGAGCCATGAAGCAATATAGCCTGATCCACCAGTTACACACACCGTCTTCATTCTTTTTTGGGGAGAAATGTGTGAGAGAGAACGTGGTTGAAGAAGAAGAAGATGAGAGGAAAGATGAGCTACAGTTTGATATGATCAAGCTTATTAGTGTAGTTGGACATAAACTACTTAATCTTATGTCATGATAAAATGTCAAGAGGTTTATGTCAACAAAGGCAAAAAAAAAAAAAAAAAGAAAAAAAAAAAACTCAGTCGAAAGAAGTTTCTGCAATATAATATTCAACATTATAAGTCATTAGCAATAATGTAAAATTAAAAATTGCTAAATATGGTGTCAAATCATGACATAGTGTTTGTGTTCGATATTTTTTTTTGTAGTCAACCACGGTATCTGGAGCTATGTCTCGACTAGTCAGTCTGGGTCGACCACCTGAAAGTGGTGGGTGAGTCTCTCAACAAAGGTTTTCTGCATCCACAATGACTCGAACTCGAGACCTTACTTAAGGGACATCAAACTGTTTACCACTTAAGTTAACCTACGTTGATTGTTTGTATTTTACTATTGCGTATTATTTGTTTTGAATATGATACTAAGTCTAAATCTAATTTCTATCTTTATTTTGTAAATGTATTTATGTGCCAGCCATTAAAATCCCGTAAAAGAAGGTTGGGATAGGCGGCCATAGCAACATATAGTCGTGCATTTTATGAAGTCTGGGATTTGTTACTCAATGAAATAAAATATTGGAAGTGGAGCTTTTAAATTTGTTGTACATTCTTACAGTTGTCACTCGAAAAAATATTATGAAATATTGGAACTGCAGGTTTTTATATGGTACTAGTTAGAGCTGTGAAAACGGATTGGCGGGACAGGCTGGTCCGTAGCCGCCAAACCCCTTTGGTTGGCGAGGCGGGGCGGGACTAAGAAAAGCAGGCCCACCCCGCGCTGCCTCGGGCCACGGGTAGAGCTGGCAAGCCAGAGTGGGTTACGCTTGGCTCCTTTTTTTTTTCTCGGTTGAGCGTGAGAGAACGTGTTTTGGGGGTAAAAGGGAAAATGTACTTTTGGTTTATCCTTTTTATGTACAATAATTCAAGAAGCAGAAGATCACCCATGCCATATGCTCATATGTAAACCAATATATAAGCTAAATTATGTACACATAACAAAATCAGATCCAACTAACTGAGTGTTGGAAAAACCAGAAAAAGAGCAATTTCTACAAAAAAATAGTTACTTTAATCCATTCCAGGAATGATGCATATAATAGATGAATCACATCATATTTTTTACTAGTTACTGTCTTTGCTCCATATCTATTCCAATGTAGAAGCTGTGAAAAATACACAGACATCCTCTATTTTTCTTCCTCTTTCTTTCAAATTACAAATAGTACACTGAGTCGACACGACAAGTTTTTACCTTTTTCTTTCTAATTTTATAGTTACAACAATACATTTTTGTTTTATAGGTATACGTTGCAATACACAACGTAGCTCTCATCACACCAGCAAATGAGGCTCATCTAGTAACTTTACACAAAGTTTTTCGCCTTCAAACTTTCAACAGTTTCCTTAATGCTCACTTTGAGAGGAATGAATTCGACACCAAGGCTCTTTGCTCTTTCTTTCGAGAATCGGTACGTTGGCATCAATGGGTTGTCGTCGGCATACCTGCATTCGAGATTTTATGCATCACAATCTTGGTCAGCTGATACTAGTTGATGTACTTAAAGCAGACCCAATTTGGAAATGGGTCTACACGGCCTGGCCTGTTGGACTCGGCCAAATTGTCCCAACTTGGCCATAAATTTCCATCCAGCCAAGGTTGGCAAGGCCCGTTTCCTATAGCTCGAAGGAAATGGAGCGGGCATCGTATGAAAAAATGGGTTAACAATATCCACGACAACAACCAAACGACTCTTTAGAACTCTAATGTGCGAAAATGTCCATTAATTTTAACAACTTGGGATCAACTATGCAAATGTTCACGTATTTGTGGAGTTGAATCACAATAAGGACTTACTTTTCAGGCAGCCGAAGAGTGGGGTACAGCTCACGTATTATCTTCACGGTTTCTGAATGGTGTTTGACACTCTCAACCAGACAGTACCTTCCATTGGCCGAAGGACTCTCAAATGCCAGAATATGTGCATTCGCAACATCTTTCACGTTCACCCACCCATATGTTAAGTTTGGGTATGTTTCTGCACCTGCGTGTACCAAGAATTGAGATAATCATAAATAGAAATAAAAATGAACGACAAAAATAAGGAAACTTGGGGAAATGTACTTGATTAAACGAATTTCTAGCATTTAAAGAAACAACATACATTCATTTCACTTTTACACGCTCCACTCTACTCCACTCTGCTTTTTCCTAACACATATTTTAAATTAAATATGACTCATTACACAGTCGCTACACATTTATCTATGGAACTTAATTTTAAAATGTATATCCAATTGCTCTCTGGTACAATTGGAAATACAACCCAATCTCATTTCATTCCGTTCATCCATTTCACTTTTTTTCTCTTCCCTCCAGTCATTTAAAAAAATAAAAAATACAAAAATTAGAGAGATACGGGAAGGAATGAACTAAATGCATTTCCAATTGCACCAAAGCTTTCAATTGTATTTCCATATGATGAAAAATTTGACTAGCTTAAAAGTCTGCATATTGTTGACTGGGGAATTACAAACAAATGAGGATGAACAGTTTGCAATGCAACTCAAACAATATAACAAGTTCATTTAGTGAAATAGAATAGAACTTGATCGTTGACGAGATAGGATAGAACTCACCATTGATCAAGTTCAAAATTGCAGCGCAACTGGCGTTGAGAGTTGGTTGCAATAGAGGACCAATCACCGCAGATGGGTTTATAGCGATCATGTCAATACCTTTCTCTCTCACAAACTTCCATGCAGCATCCTCCGCCAACGTTTTTGAAAGCGCATACCATTGCTGAAAGAATCAGATTGCAGCACACCATAATGTCATGGAGAATCGCACAACAAAAACAATAAAAGCCAAAATTCCAAAAAAAAAAAAAAGGAAGACGACGAAAAAGAAAAGGCACACAAGGAAAAGATATCTATGGAATTTGCACAACAATCCACAATTAAGGGTTTTTGCATGAAGTTGTGTCTAAATGGAATATATTTGAAGAGTGTATAATTGGATTTATCCTTGAATCAGACAAGTACGAAGTCAAATACCTACTACAGAAATCTCATTAATGCTCGAACCAGATATAATCTAAGAGATGTATAATTAACATCTATTTTACTTTCTGCTAATCCAATGAACATATAAACACACATTCTTTGGGTGAGGAAATGTCTGACTTTCTTTTGGTGCTGGCACAAGACATGAATATTTTCCCGCGACTTCTCTTATACATAACATGAACATCCCCAGTGATCTTATGTTAAAATAAAAACTGAAGTTGGACAGAGTTTCAAAATTTTCCATCAGAATTCATTTTAGTCCAACCCTCAGGCGGAGGTGACCATCGCAGCTGCAACATTTCTTGGCCGACACCAAAGCCTCCCAACTTCCGTTCTCCCATGATCGCTATGGACACATTACCCATACTTTTCTATAATGTTGATTGAAATTAACAAACTGGCGGTTGTTTCTGTCTGTTAGTTTTTCTTGACTCGTGCATACAAGATTATAAGTACACTGTGTGGTCAAGAGTTGACTATTTCACATTTTGTTGTTCAGCGATTTATTACTGACCATGAAAACTAGTGCTATTGCTCAAACATTAACAAAACATCAGTTGGCTAAATATGTGTATTTTGTTTGGTGTGTGTGTTTAATTGGTCATTTATTGTCAAAAATTAAACCACACACAATAATTCCAGTTTTGTAAAATAATTAAATAGAATGAGAAAGATAGTAATTTGATCTACAAGCATATTACTCGTCTAATGAATATAATTTTTTTTAGCAAGTTTCTACAAAGTCCCCTGACCTAAAATAATATGTGTGCTTGCAGATGCTATAGATATGCATTGTGATACAAACTTCTATTTGTTCAATGTGCACTGTATGGTGTTGAATTTGATAGCTATAGTGACTTTTGACAAGTTGTGTTCATACACGTGTCAAGAGATTTACAGCTCGAGAAAATTCAACTAATGAACTCGAACCGTCAAATGGTACAGATAGTACCATTGATAGTACGAAAATGAAGAGAAACAATAACCCTACCAAAGTATGTATGCGCACATATCATTCTTATTCGGTTTCAGGTGGAATGTTCTTCTCTTGAAGAAGTAAGCGAAGAAAAAAACAGAGTATTATTTTGTAACCACAAAATTGTGAATAGAATAAGAGGAAACGAACCCCTATCAAAGTATGTATGTGCACATATCATTCTTATTCGGTTTCATGTGGAATGTTCTTCTCTTGAAGAAGTAAGCGAAGAAATAAACAGAGTATTATTTTGTAACCACAAATTTATGAATAGAATAAGAGGAAACAAACAATGACCTGTTCTTCTCTGCAAAACTCAGGGTCAGACCACCAAGTCTCGTCGACTACAACTTCAGGAGTCAGAGGTTTACCATTGAATAAAACTGCAACAATAGAGGAAGTCAGAACAACCCTTTTAACTGATGGTGTTTTCGCACACGCTCGAAGCACATTCAGTGTCCCCTTTAATGCAGGATCAATCAAGTCTTCCTGAGATAAGTGAAAGCTGAACTGAGTTAGACATACTTTTAAGGTCTGGAGAAGATATAAAGTATGTCAACTAAAAACTTGACAAAAACAAAATAACAATAACAATAACAAATAATTGTCTTATACTAAATGAATCAGACTTTTGAATGGCCATTCGGCTGGAGATTCAATCTCCTGAAATTCAAACCTTGTTTTAACAGCTTTGGACAAGAAATACTAAAACGTGAAGAAAACTACATGTAATTCTGTTAATTTACTCTAATATCCTGTTTTGCAACAATAGATCAAACAGACCGCCAAGGAAATTCCCCAAGGGACTTTGAAGTTTCGATTCTTCAAAGAAAAAATGAAGAGTTATGATTTACGCACAATTTTCGAGTCAATATTGTATGCCTCTCTTCGATCGCTATTAACAGAACTAACAAGAATTCAGGAATTGCGTCACTCAAATGTGATGCAAATTCGGAATTTGGATTTGAAACTACTCAATACAATAATTTGATGAAGCTAGTCACTTGGATAACAACACATGAAATGGAAAAACAAAACAATGGGGGCATAAACCTGCGGATTGCTGGTCGTATGGAAACATGGGGAAGCAGTGTGGAAAACACCATCACAGCCATCAACAACAGCATCAAAAGATCCCTCTTCAAGTAAGTCTGCTTTTATCAAGTGAAGCCTCTCGTTTGCGCCATCAAGTGCGAGTAAATGTTTAGTCTTATTTGGATCATCTGTCAGGTTATCAAGGGTCCAATAAGATCACAATAGAAAGTTTCAATTAACAAACATCCACAGAAACTCAAACTAGACATCACGCGGTCTCCACACAATAACAACATCACGAGCACGTTCTTGTATTCAACCGCATGAGCAAATAAGCAATACTACTGCACGGTTTTTTGTGCTTCACATAACACAATCACTTCTAGGATAGTTCTTAAAGGATACAATTACAGATAGAACTTGGAAGTGGAAAATAAGCATATTAGATAAGCAAAAAAAAAAAAATAGAGTAATTCCAATAGTTGAATTTGCAAATAAAGTATTCACTAATATTTGGAGCATAAATTAATATATATATATATATAGAACAACTCATCACTTTAGGCCCAAGAAAGAAAGGACAGAGACATATTGAACTCATGATTGTGGCCAATTATTAAATCAATCAAACAAATGTGTATGCAGAAAAGATACAGAAACAATTGAATCAAAAATCAGCAAAACAAAGATCATCAAAGACTGCATCTTTAAAAAATTGCTTTTAACATAGTGAGCCCTAAACACAAGTCTCTGGCTACATAACAAGTACACACAAATACATACATATATATGTATGCATATAATGAATTTTGAGCTCGAAAGAGAGTAAAAAGATAATTAACTGGTATTACGAACAGAAGCTTTGACAGTGTAGCCGCGCAGGAGCAAGAATTTGACGAGCCACGTAGCGATATAGCCTGATGCCCCTGTTACACACACTGTCTTCTTCATTTCCCTGAGTGAGAGAGAGAAAATGGTTTGGAGAAGCAAAAGAGTAAGTGGAGGTTTTTGCTACTTCTATCTTCTCTAAATTCGTGTGGTAATAATCCACAGAAGAAGCCGCGGGTGCATGTCAAGCAATTTTTATTTTTTTGGTAGTCAGCCACGGTATCCGAAACTATGTCCTGACTAATCTGTTGATCGACCCGGGTCGCACACATGACAGTGGTGGGCGAGTCTCCCAACAAAGATTTTCTGCATCCACAAGGACTCGAACCCGGGACCTTGCTTAAAGTGCATGTCAAGCAATTAACTGATGATAATGACTTCCAAAGAAAAATAATTTGGATGGGATATATATGTATGAGGGAAAAATTACGTACATAGACTCATGTCTATAAATATTTACATATATACCATCCCTGCAAACATTAATCAAAATAGAAGTAATAAGTGATTTTTTATTTTATTTGTACGAGAGATTCTGATTTATATGAAAATATCTGATTTTTCTATCTCTCCATATATCTTTGAAAATATTAATGAGAAGATTCGTCTTTCTTTTTCTCCATATATTCATCTAAAAAAATCTGGCAATGGCAAAGGGAGGACAACCCACCTCTTAATCCGAACGATGATGAAGATGAAACAATGTATCGTTCTATAACTCGTACAACAACCGGTAATCAACTGCTCGAATGGAAGATCGTCCAAAAAATGTTTAAATTTCACAACAATTCGATTACAAGAAGTTCGAAGAAGAAGACAATCGAGACTCCTAGTTAATTACCTGGAGTGAACTATTGAGGACGAAGAATTTATGTATGAATGGGACGATGAAGAACAAAGAATTATCAAGCAAGTCCTCGAATAAAAAAAAAAAATAGAACTTCAGATTCTCGACAAGAGTCGGATCCAAAATTTGGATTGATTTTTTTTAGTGTTGTTTATATGTTGTTTATCTTATTATAAATGCATTCGATTTAGATTTTGCGATTCATAATTGTGTAATATGTTTTATACCGATTCAGAATTGTTTATATGTTTATATGTTGTTTATCTTATGTATAACTACACACTGAATAATAGAAGACTGCCAGATCATGTTTATCTGATGTATATATATACAGTATATCTGAACATATATTTGATGGTTATTAGATCGGGAGCGAGTTATCCTTGCTTCGTCTTCACTTTTGGAGGGTTTTGTCTCATTTTTATTTCGCTTTGCCATTATATTCTCCCCTAAGATGAAACTTTTTTCTGCATGAGAGATGAAGTTTTTTTGGGGGAAGGATGAAGTTCTATGCACTACACCCGAGATATGGAGAGAGAAACAGTGATTTCTTTTCTTTTTTTTATTCGGTTAAGTGTAAGTATGGAGAAAAAATCACGTTTCCCGAAAAATCATGTAAGATAATTTTAATTGTGTATAGTTGTTTAGTTATTTCTAATCTGACACCAATATCGGACTCAATTTATA